CGGGGCCAAGCTGGAACTTGAAGCTTCGGCGCGAGCACGCAAATAGGCTCAGTCACCCTGCCTGGTATCGTGGAGACTCATCGGGTCCTTCTGGGGTGACCCCCAGCTTGACACCTCAACACATGGCAAACACATGCGACGAGTTGCTGCCAAGTTGCCAAGTCTCGTACACTACAGTCTTCGTCAGTCCCATGCGGACGTTCTTACAAAGGACAAGATGCCAGTGACAAAGCGATCCCCAAGAAGCTTGGACGAGCCTTGATCCTGGAACGTCGCTCGCCACCATCGCAGACCACGAAGTAGGTCCTTTGCCCGTATGAGTCAAGCACTTCTCTCTGGCGTCTTGAAGAGTTGGGCAGCGGCGGCTGTCTCGTTTCCACAGTGCGCGCGAATGCAACTTTGCTTCAGCTTGCTAAACAGAGTCACCCTGCATTAGGGCCAATTAGGGCCCAAACGGGCCTCGAATCGACACAAGACTCAGGCCTTTCGAAACTGATGGTCCATCGGATGTGGCTTGGATGTTGCGTTCCAGGTGAGTCACAGAAACACGTGCTTTAGCGGCCCGACATGCCACAAGCACGGCCTCGTGGAGCTCATCCATGCCCCTTTTGAGAAGATCCTGCGGGAGGAGGTAGAAGTTTGAGAGAGAAGAATCGGACCGAATGCAACATGCACATGCCCTCACACCGCGAGGGTCCTCCTCGAGGCTTCTGCAACCCACCCCGTCGTTCCTCGTCAACTCTCAACGACAGCGGAAACATCAGCCAACAAAGGTGCGCGATGAAATGGCAACAAAGATGATATCTTACACAGACATTCGAGAGTGTGCAAAAAGCTTCGGGAAGACACACGACACGAACTTTGTAAAGTGAACACATCGTGCCGCGGGCCTTCTTGCTACTCAGCAACAATGGACTCCACCCGTCTTCTTGAGGCTAAGGCTGCGGCTACGGTTTCCCCGCTAAGTTGCTTTCTTAAAAGTCAGGGAGCGGAGGCAGCTTCAGGCGGTCGGCCACCACAGCACAGTGCGAGCGCCACAGAGAAAGAAAGTGCTCGAACTGACATTTCACCGAGTCCTCTGCACTCCGGGCTCTGAAACACAGGACATTTGGTGCTCTCGTCTCATCGGCCCCTAGCCTCCTGGAATCCGAAGGCCGACTGGAGCTTTGCGAAGGCTGTGGCGGCCTGCGCTATCCAAGGGCACACTAGGCACGGCCCAAGATGGACAATGAAGTAGAGCCTGATCCCGCCAGAAGTCGCCCGCAGGCAGCGTGCGAAGCGATGTGCCTCTGCAGGAGATTTGGACTCGAGGGCTGCTCTCTTAAGGCCTCCTTGCAACAAAAGAAAGCGCAATCCTTTCGCAACTCTGACATCTCGTCCTGGCCTCGTCGTCTCCCTTCACTCCCTTAGCTGATGTCTCAGTGTTCACGAAATCCCACGAGCGGAGGTGCTGCACAGATGCAACATTCCCATCCGATCTCTTTGAGATCTCCAAGGCCTCAGATGCCCGCCAAGGCACGTCGGTCACCGCTCCAGCACTGCTTTAGATGCTCCATGAGAGCTCCGTCGGCCTCGATGCCACCTGAACATGTCACTCCCAGCTGGCATGTATTTTCACACTGCACGGTATGTCCAGCATATGACATAATCGAAAAACTATCCAGTTAACTGTCTGACACACGATATCATGTGCTCCGTGCGACATCCAACAACGAACATCTGACACCACGAAACACTAGAGCCCGGGTGTGCCGAAAGCGCTTTATAACCAGAAGGCATCAACACGAATTATGCTTTGTAGCATGCATGCGTGCATTTGCATAGTAACCAGTATCGACGCAAAGAATATTACCCGCCTATGCATCCATGCATTTGTCTGCACGATCATCCATTCATGCGTTTAGAAACATTCGTATATGTACCCACGTCTATATGGTATATCGTATTTAGTAGGATCGTCCATCCATCCATCCATCCATCCATCCATCCATCCATCCAATACATCGCACACATACATGCATACATACATACATACATACATACATACGTAAATCCAAAACATGAACTACATACATACATTCATACATACATACATACATACATACCTACGTCGTACATACATACGTACATACATACATACATACATACATACACACATCCCTCGAGATTGTCCGCACTGTGCACTCGAAAAATCAAATTTCGAGATCCCAGAGCATCGGACATCTTCGGGAGACTATCGGTACATCATGTCATCACATCATATAGACCGAAGCAGCTCCGCTGACAAACCCTTCGCCAACGCCTCCGGCAACTTGTTGGATTGGGTAGTGAGTGTGCAAGTACATAATAATTGTTCTTATACTAGTCATATAATTATCATATATTATAGACAAACAAATTCAACAGCAACGAGAATGCTTGTTCACCTATAGAAGAACTCATATACCATAATAACCCTTCAATGCTCCGACCTCGCTCCAAGGACTGGACGTCGGCGACCATCATCGAGGCCCGGGTCCGCGGGGTGCGGAAGAGGCTGGGAGCGAAGAAGGACCTCAGGGTTTGAGGTTTAGGGTTTTAGGGTTTAGGGTTTAGGGTTTAGGGCTTTTGGGTTTTAGGGCTTAGGGTTCTCATGGAATTGAGTTAAAAGAAGACTCTTTTGGCTGTAAGTTCTTTGCAAGGCCAGGATGGCCCATCAACGGGTTGAAGAAAAAGGGCAAGACGATGCCGAAGCTGAAGGAAACAATCTGCCGGGCTGCTCCAAGCAGGACCCACTCCTGGAATCGGGCCGTCGGCAGCACATCTGCAGCTTTGGCAACACGGTTGCAGCCACGGCAGCTAGCACTGCAGCAAGGGCCACCTGAGCTCTGAGAGCTGCAGCCAGCTGCCCGCGTAAGGGGGGCCGTGCGGGGGTTCCTTTTTGGTGCAATCTGAGTGCCGACATCCGCGCCAACTTGGAGTTGCCGTGGCTGATGCAGTATGGCGGTCCGGGCACGTTGCAGCACTCGCGGCTCCTAGCAAACGCTGTTGCTTCCGTGGCTTGCTGCAATTGCAGCAGAAAAGCCCCATGCCTCATGAGCACATCGCCCCAAGCGCAGCAAGCCATGCTTGCCGCTTTCATGGAGCTGGTCTCGTTGGCTGCCTGAGCAACACAAGCTGCACGCCTGAGCCTGAGTTCAAACTACCGGTAGTGGAACAATCTCGCCTTGGAGCACATCTGGAGGGCCTCCTGCATCCGTTCGGTGAAGGATCCGTCCACCGCCTGAGGGCGCATGGAGCTTGGTCTGCGAGGTTTCATGACTGGGTCGAAACCATTTGCTGCGCTCCTTTTCCTATGGCCAGCTTGTACAGCATCTGTTCTGCCAGCTCGTGTCTCCGGCCGGAGAAGCCCAAGCAATCTCAGCAGACACCCGCGAAACAAGGAATCAGGATCATGTCCATTCGATAAGAGCACCTTGAGTGGAAGCAGGACGGCACCCTTTTCCTGCAGTTCTTGCAAAAAACAGGTTTGAAATCAGGAATTCGGAGCTACCCTTTTCACCCCTTTCGTTTCTTGTGTAGCCATCCCCCGCAAAGAGGTGACCTGCCCCAAGCCATGTCCACAGCAGGATACGGAAGTCAACCACTGTGCGCTCCTTCCTGTAAAGCGGCGTGGAGTCAAGAAGATGCTGGGGTCTTGGTCAATATCGCTGGCATCAACATGCTCGACTGACCTATACTTGCGCAGGAACTCCCTGCACTTCACGAAGTCAGCCATGTTTGTTTGCTTGAACTCTTCTCCATATTTCTCGGTGTATTCGTCCAGGCCAGGAACCATTGCAACACACTGAAGCAGTCCATCCCAAGTGGCACGGACGCCACTCGGAGTTCCCTGTTCCCCACTTTTCGTGCCAGGTAGCTGGATATGACTGCGAAACGGCGGATAGTAGTACATGCTCCATACTCAGCAAGCTCGTGACAGCCATCGGGGCCAGCTGCGAAAACAAACGGTTCTCTGTCTGGCTGCTCAGGATCGCCCAAGTCCACAGACAGGAAAAAGAAGGTAGGTCCCTTGCTGTCGTGGCGAAAGATTCTGCCACAAAGGTCCAGCTGTTGCTGGGGTGATCCGCCACGTTGGAAGAACTGCAAAAAGAGCTACGGCGCGTCTGACATCACGTGAACATTTTGTCAACCGCATCCGCAGTCGTATTGCCGAAAACATCTCTAGCTTGTTCTAGGTTGCTGTTCAACTTGTCCGAGCAGAAAACTTCAGGATTGCATCGCTGGCGAAGCTGCCCAACAGAAAATGCGCGACGGCCATAGGGGAGCGAGAAAACCATTTAAAACCCAAGCTTTACATCCTCGTTAAGCTGAACTCAACCCGTCACTTAGCCCAGGCATTCGATGCCAGCCGTTGCCTGTCCGTATTTGCCAGCCAACTGTCCGAGATCGCCATTTGCCTGCCGGCTCACGCTGCATCATGACATTAAGCTGCATGTGTCGTCACTCAAGAACGGCCACTTCTTCAGAAAGTCAGGTCAACAGAAGGCCAGGTTACGAGACATTGCATACTGCTATCTACACTGCTACGAGATGATGGTGCCTCATGCTTTGCCATGTGCCTAAGATCCCTGGGGCCTGGTCGATTCGCTCGCAGTTCCACTGCCGCAACGCTTTCAACTGTGCCTCCGAGGCATCCGCGGCCTGATTTGTTAAACAATCTTATCGGGTTTGGGGGCTAAGAGATCTAAGCCTCAGGAATTTGGATGTCTAGGGGTATGGGGGTCTCTGGGATCAGGGCTGAAACCGTTAGGCGATCCATGCATGTATGTATGCATGCACCTATGTATCTATGTATCCATGTATGTATTTATCACACCACGTACACCACGCACACCGTCCACACCACCCTCCCCCGCCACCCCACAGCACCCTTGCTTGTAATTCCTTCGTAATAAGAGTATTTAAGGGCCTCCAATGCATGCCCGCTCCCCCCCCGCACCCCCACCACCCCCACCACC